TGGAAGGAGGGACAATGAAAAGGAAGTTTGTTTTCTATCTTGTAAATTATTTACTGTTAAAATGCTTCATCTATTTCCGTAAATTAAAAAAAAAAAAGCATGCATGTGTGCACATGCAGAAAATAAAAAGAGGATGTTCTAGCTATTTTTAACAAATTTATCCAGCCTAGACATTCACTAAGCAAGAACAAGCCCTTCCAAGTTGCCAGTTTTAATTCTTTGATGTCAAAGAAGCATAGGATTCCTTGGCTTAGCACAAATCCGAATGTATAGGGAAACTGAAAAAATTAATTAGAGGGACGTGATGGGGAACTGGCTTTTAGTAAACATGGCATAGACTGCAGTACTGGCTCAAAAAAAGTTTACAAAAGTGATTAAAACTGCTGTCATTCCATTACCAGAGTTGGTCTCTGGGCTTTGATGGAATTTACTGTTGAGAGTCCTTCTTTCACCAGGCTTCCTATTTTTAAAGCTTTCACTCAATTGTAAACAGACTTCCGAGCAATAGAATAGAACATAAAGCTGTGGGAAAAAAATAACCTTAGTTTTTACCTTTGTTTACAAACCAATGCAAGCACAGGTATGTTTTCCAATGTTGGTTTTCTTATTATTCAGGTATGGTGGAGCCAACAGATCAAGAGACGGTTGCCATTGAAAAGAGTTTGTTGTCCTCACAGCTTGCAAGAGAAAGGGCATGCCAGGCCATGGAGGGCCAAAGCAGGTTGTTCAGGAGATAGAAAGAATGGGAGAAAAACGTGGGCAAGAGCCTTTTTTTCGTGGTTTCCCCAAGATGCAATGGGCAGGACAGGGTAAATGGGCTTACCTGGCTGGTTTGAATCATTGTAGTGGACTCTGGGGCTTAAGGAGCATCTCCAATTGTCTGGTACCTGGCCCTGTAGAGATTAGGGCAGAGGAACAGTGGAGTATTTTCTGTAAGAACTCTGTGAAGATGGTGGTTGAGGGTGGGGCTCTGGATTGGTCGGTTTGCATAGGAAAGGCAGGCTTCCTGGGAGGGGCCGACTCTAGGATGGCATGGCCCCAAGATGTCAACAAATCAAAAAACTGGAAAATAAAAAAACATGATCAATAGATGTTGATAAAGATGCGAGAATAACTATGCTTTTCAAGGTTTCCTGGGTGACTTTTACACTAATATTTTGTTTAATGACAAGCTTAGAGAGCCTTCCTTAGATGGGCCAACCTTTTAATATGTTTTTGGGGGCTGTATTGGGTACAGTAATTGAGAAGTCCTTCCCTCACTCATTTCAGGCAAGAAAGAGGGGATATGTGAAGCTTTTAAAAGGTGTTTGGATCTACTCTGCTAATTCTTTGTTGGTCTATAAAAGCCAATCGGTCATTTCCCCCCTTTTCCTCTTTAGGCTCTTTCATATGTTGGTGTGGAATTTTAGACTGGATGCCACTGCTTTAGTGTTTGCACATTTGCTTGTTTATGCAACTTTATTTTGGTGTTTCAGTTGCCAAGGACTCTCTTGAAAGCCTTTTACAGTGTTTTACATTTACTGCATTACTGCAGCCAGAAATTTGGTTCTTTTCTGAAGATTCAAGGAATTGCATTGTGGCTACCTAACCTGTATTTTCATTTTGGTGGGGGAAGTCGGCATCCTGCTTTTTCTTGTTTGGTTCTCTTGTGTTAGAGGTTAAAAGAATTGTCTTTAGAAGTCCACCTTTATACGCCCGTGCTCCTGCTCGGTTGCTCAATCGTATCTGACTCTACGACTCTGTGGACTGTGGTCCGCCAGCCTCCTCTGTCCATGAGATTTCCTGCAAGAATACTGGAGTGGATTGCCATTTCCTCCTCCAGGGAATCTTCCCAACCCAGGGATCAAACCTGCATCTCCTGTGTCGCAGGTAGATTCTTTACCACTGAGCCACTGGGGAAGCCCCTTCACCTTTATATCTTTAGATATCTTCACCATATATCTTTAGATATATGCTGTATATCTATTCCTTGTATTTTAATGCTGCCCTCTCGTTTACTGTGGCCTAAAGTTTAGTTTAATCATCTGCTTAGATTTACTATTTTTAACTGATGTCTTTGCTCTTTTGGTCACTTTTTTTTTTTCATTTCTTAACGACTCCACGTTTGTCTTCAGCATCCTTGTGTAGCTGCCTTCATCTTCTGCCCAGACTTCTGCAGCCATCCAGTAACTGGCTTCCCTCCAGTCTGTCCTCCATGCTGAAGTGGAAGTTGGTCTGTCCGATAACTCAAACGCGATCTGTTTCTTCACATCTCCCTTAGAAGAACATGGTCAGGAAGGCCCTGCGTGGCCCAGCGCCCCCACCCCTCTGATTGCATCTCAATCCATCATCCTCCAACTGGTGTTAGCTGGGCGGTCACACCAGCTTCCTCTCTGCCTGTCCACGGCACCCTGATCCCCCCAGCTTGCTCTGTCTGGGGTGTTCGCCACTTCCTCCCCGACTGTCCTGAGCCAAGATAATATACATTGAGCTTTCAGACCCAACTTGGGGGTCTCTTCCTCGGAAAAGCCTTCTCGAATTCCCCAGTTGTTGCTGTTTGTCAGACACTCAGTCATGTCCGACTCTTTTGCGACCCCATGGACTGTAGCCCACCAGGCTCCTCTGTCCATGGGATTCTCCAGGCAAGAATACTGGAGTGGGTTGCCATTTCCTTCTCCAGGGGATCTTCCCAACTCAGGGATTGAACCCGAGTCTCCTGCCTTGGCAGGCGAGTTCTTTACCGCTGAGCCACCAGGGAAACCCCAACTCCCCCGTGGAGGAGGTTATTTAGCGTATGCTCTGATGGAAGCATGTCTTGTTTTGAGGCACATCTCAATTTGCAATCACGGATGAGGTGACGTCTCATTTGATGACTGAATCGCACCTTAGCCTGTGACCTTTGGGAGGGAGGGGCTGTCCCTCTGGTTACCATCGTCCCCAGCCCCTGCTGGCTTCCCTTGCATTGTGGGCAGCTGGTCCTCAGTTGTTGGCCGAGGGTGGAGAGACAGCTGAGGTCCGGATGACAGCAGTTGGCCTGAGAGCGTCCATATTCTGCTGGTGCTGAAGCTCTCGGATCTCCATGTCCAGGGCTCTGCCCTCCTGCCTGCCTTCCTTTCCGTCTGTGGCTCTGGTTCCCCCACTTTACTCCACGGTTTTGAAAAGCCACTGGAAAACTTGTTTTGTTGAAGGGAAATCTGTTCATGTACATGGGTCAGGACAGGATGACTCTTCTTTATTCCTCTGGAATATCACTAATAAACTTTTACCTTGAAATCCCCGACTTCATCTTGCCTATTCAGTCTTTCCTACTGTGCTGCTGAGCAAATGTTTTTTAAAATCAGGCAGAACTTTCTGACCTACTGGCACACACTTCTCTTCCCCTTCCCCGGGTATCCCGCTTCTGCACAAGAGCACTTTCTGCCCTCTTCCCACCATATCCTGTCCTTTGGTTCAGGACATAAAACTCCTTCACCTCCCAAAGCGAACACCGCTCCATAGTTTCCCCACTCACCTCTAACCCTTGTCCTTGCATACAGCCTTCCTGCCCTCACTTCTGGGGGCTATAGATTTATATACATCCATCTTCTTATTAATATGATCTCAGTAAGCTGTCTGCCAAGGTTAACCTTTATTTTTCCTTATCACACCACTGAATTTATTGTAATTTAAGGGAGGGCGTTACAATACATTTTTAAAATAATAAATTTCAAAATGGATAATCAGGGATTTTCAGTCCTGATATGCTTGAGAATAACCCAGAGAGCTTTTTATTGTCATATAGTTGTCGGGTCCCAGGCTGGCAGCAGGGAGGGCATCACTGTCTTTCCAGACTGGCAGAGTGACTTGGTGAAGATCGGACAGCTAGTGGGTAACAGAGTTCAATCACAATTCTTGTTTCCTTGGTTTCTTTCTAGTTCTTACTCATATATATATATTTTTTACATTAAATTCTATTGAGAGTTGTGTGTATTTAATTCATCTGTATCTAAATTTATCTGCATAAAATTGTTTTCTTATTTTATAACCGGTATTTCCCGCCACCCCCCCCATGACTGTGTAACCAAAGCATGCAAAAAATCTCAAGCTGACCAAAGGGACCACAGCCACGTCTCACCTCCTCCTCTCCGTGTTTCCTGGATGTCAGTGCTGGAATAGCTTTGTTTCCTCTATAGCCTCCCGCCAATCCCCCTGTCCTGCCTGGAGCCGCGGGCCTGCCCTGGGTGCCGCCCCTCCCTTCCCCACTCAGGGCTCTGTTCCCGCTTGACTTGCCCTCCATCACACCACTGATCCGAGGAAATGTCCACTCTTCCCTCCCCCAGCCCCCACCTGCCTGAGCGGTTGGCTCCGGTGAGGGGCTGGGTCCTCGTAGAGGGGCGTTTGGGAACTGAACTGTTCCTTCTTTCCTTGCTGGGAGCCGAGAGAGGTGGGTGGGTGTCCCACAGAGGTCTCCCCCCACCCCCTCAGTCTGTCCTCGGGAACCTGGGTACCAATCCAGGGAGCTTTAGAAGAGGTGTTTTCGTACCATTTTTTAATAGTTGAGAAGCAACTAAATTCTCAATAAGACAATAAGACGTGATCCGTATGAACTAGGTAATTAAAAGAGGAATCCCTTTTGGGGAATCCCTTTCTGAGGAAAGGTCACACTCTGGAAGATGCCATGTCGTCTGAGTTAAACCAAGGATGGAGGCAGCCTTTCTGGCTTCGAATCCTAGGTCCTCTTCCCAGGGTGGTTCTGATCGGTGGTGGAGCTGCTCTGTAGTAGTTTCTTCAACCATATATTGTGGTTAAATAAAGTGAAATAAAAATGCCTGCATCATAGGTAATTTGATTGTCTTGAAGGCGAAATAATCAGATTATGATGCTGATCATAGTAGCTGTCCACTGGTATCATTAGTTTACATTAGTCAAGTGATTTACAGAAGCTTTCCCATACGTTATATTTTAGCACATCTTAAAATATGCTTTTTAAAAAATTGTCTTTATTACTGACTCACAGCTGCTTCTCTGTGTTTGACTTTCAGCCCTGGAAAGGAAAATATCCATGAGGCAAAGCAGAGAGGAGCTGATAAAACGAGGGGTCTTGAAGGAAATCTATGATAAAGGTAAGGGGACCACTCCAGGCTCCGCAGGCCAAAAAGAAGCCATGCTTGGAATCTGTGTGTATTTCTCAGAGTAGGATTTCATTCTCTGCATTGCTTTATCAGAGTTTGAATCTGTAAAACTCCAGACAGTTCTGGAGAGATCAGAGAATGGAGCTGACAGCGCTGAAGTGATGGGTATTGTCGCGAAGGTGAACCCTCCCTTTTTCTCAGCTTTGGAATCAAACCACAGGATGCTAAGAAAAGTGATGGGGCCCCAGGAATGGTGTCAGTACTGGTGGTGAGCCTGTTGGTATCTGAACACACACAGCTGGGGTGAATTTAATTGCTTCGGTTCTTTCAGGCACTAGGGAGTCCCAAGACAAATGTTAAAAATCCACAAGCATCTAGAATATCCCGAACAGCTTTTTTTGGGCAGTCCATCTCCCAGCAGTAGGAGAATCAAGGTGGAGAAAATGATAAAATATAAATGTGCACGTAAGAGATTTCAAATGGTACTATTACAGTGATTACAAATGCTCTGTGAATGTGTCCACAAGTGTTAGCCAGTGATTTATCACGTGTCTTTACTGGTTGAACTACTGCCTTTAAATACAAAGGTATACAGTGGTTTACACAGCGTATTAACTAGTCATCACCGGCCCCCCACCAACCCTTCTCCTTCCTCTCCACCCTTCCCCTCTTCACCCTTCACTTAAAGCTTCATGAGAAGTGTTGTTTAGTCTAACTCAGTTGTGTCTGACTCTTTGTGACCCCATGGACTGATGCCCACCAGGTCCCTCTGTTGGATTTCCTAGGCAAGAATACTGGAGCAGGTTGCTATTTCCTTCTCCCTGGTATCCTCCCAACCCAGGAATCAAACCTGCATCTCCTTGCATTGGCAAGTAGATTCTTTACCTCTGAGCCACCAGGGACGTCCTTTATGAGAAATGACAAGCTCTTGTTCCAGCTTTGTCACAATCGTCAATACTCTGGTCTTACTGTTTTGCACCAGCGTTGTTTGTTGGGCCAGATTATTAAATCACATACTCTCTTTAAAGATCCACCCTAATCATCAAAGTGACCTTGTAATTCTGACAGTCCACCACATTTCCGTAGGCCTTCTGCATGCTGAGTTTGTGTCCTGACACCAAAAGGCAGGTGTGTCTCTAACCTGGGTGCTTCTCTCTGATTCTGCTGTCGTCAGCGAGTTGGTCCTTATTCCTGTAGTACAGCTCACCTCATTCACCCCTGTTGTGGAGCATCCTGATGGCACTTTTAAAGTATTTTTAGAACACTTTGCCACTCTGAAATGCTGCAAGTCGTAAGGACCTTGTGTGTAATAATAAGATCTCCTAGGCAACAATTAGAGTAAAAAAATCTGTGTCAATTTAGAGTGTTCTAAAACTAATGAAATAAAACCCAGTCTATTTTTAACACATTTTAAAGTTCAATCTTTATTTTGAGCCAAATCTTAAGGGTTTTTAAAAATGAATCTGAGTTAGTAAAGTTTTTTGAATAAAACTGAGTTGTCATGTATCATGAATGTATTGGAAAGGTCCCTGGAATATTTTTGGTCAGGCAAACCAGGAGTTCAAGTGTACCCTATTCAACAATCATACCCACAGCCCCAAACACACACATGATCTCCCCATATATATTTCACTAAATACACAAACAATCTGCACCACCACTCACTGGTAGGGTGTGAAGTTGTATTATTTCAAGTTTCCTGGATTAGTTGGTGCCTCAGATGGTAAAGAATATGCCTGCAGTGCAGAAGACCCAGGTACAGTCCCTGGGCCGGGAAGATCCCCAGCATAGGACACAGCAACCCACTCTAGTATATTTGCCTGGATCATTCCACGGACAGAGGAGCCCAACAGGCTACCGTCGATGGGGTAGCAAAGAGTTGGACTTGAGTGAGTGACTAATTCTTCATTAATTATCATAGCCCTCTGGCACCTCCTGGGTGAGCCATGCTAACCTTCTACTTCTGAGCAAGCCATGCCAAGAGACAGTTTATTTGGCCGATTAGGCTCTCCAGAAAAAAAGAATCCATAACTTTGTCACTTTTATCCAATGTCTTACTTTCTGTTGTTGTTCAGTCGCTCAGTTGTGTCCAACTCTTTGCAACCCCGTGGACTGCAGCACGCCAGCCTCCCCTGTCCTTCATTATCTCCAGGAGTTTGCTCAAATTCATGTCCATTGAGTCGGTGATACTATCTAACCATCTCATTCTCTGTCGCCCTCTTGTTTTGCCCTCAGTCTTTCCCAACACAGGGGTCTTTTCCAATGAGTTGGCTCTTTGCATCAAGTGGCCAAAGTATTGGAGCTTCAGCATCAGTCTTTGCAATGAATATTCAGGGTTGATTTCCTTTAGGATTGACTGGTTTGATCTCCTTGCAGTCCAAGGGGCTCTCAAGAGTCTTCTCCAGTACCACAATTTGAAAGCATCAATTCTTCAGCACACAGACTTCTTTAAGGTCCCCCAAACCCACCCTTTTGTTGATCTTAACTTTCCCTCTTTGATCTCAAACTCCTTTCTCCACATTCCTTCCCCAGTGAAGATGGGAAGTGTCTGACCACAGGTATGGTATTCCATAGTCAGCATCCAAGGGCCATTACTGTCAGCACTAAAGCCTGTTCAGTCCAGTTCAGTGGTCCCTCCCCTTCCCAGGGAGGGGAGGGATCTTTGAACTGGATCCCTCTTCCTGCGACCTTTATGTCTCTCACTGGAAAACTTCAGGAATCCTCTGAAGGAGAGAATACATTTTATGATAGTCTTTGTAATTTCCATTACGCTTCATAACTGCTGCTGCTGCTAAGTCGCTTCAGTCGTGTCCGACTCTGTGCGACCCCATAGACGGCAGCCCACCAGGCTCCCCCATCCCTGGGATTCTCCAGGCGAGAACACTGGAGTGGGTTGCCATTTCCTTCTCTAATGCATGAAAGTGGAAAGTGAAAGTGAACTCACTCAGTCATGTCCGACTCTCAGCAACCCCATGGACTGCAGCCTACCAGGCTCCTCCGTCCATGGGATTTTCCAGGCAAGAGTACTGGAGTGGGTTGCCATTGCCTTCTCCAGCTTAATAACTGAGTTAGGGTAAATATTGCCTGAATAACTTCCTGACTTAAGGAAGCTGTAGACCATTAGAGAAGACCCTGATGCTGGGAAAGATGGAAGGAGGGAAGAGAAGGGGACAACAGAAGATGAGATGGTTGGATGACATCACTGACTCAATGGACATGAGTTTGAGTAAGCTCCGGGAGTTGATAGACAGGGAGGCCTGGCGTGCTGCAGTCTGCGGGGTTGCAAAGAGTTGGACACGACTGAGCATCTGAACGGAACTGAGGCCATTAGAGCAAAAGGCCCACTTTATAGAGGAAAAAATGGGGGGTGCATTGAGTCTGGGGGCTGCCAGCCCACACTAGGAGCTACCCCAAAATTAGGAGCTGGGTCCTGTCATCTCATGGCATGTGTTCAGTCACTAACTGTGGAGAAAAGGACTGGTCTGGCCCCCACCTGTCACCACAACTTCCAGTTTTATTTTTGTCTTTGAGCTTATCAGTGTCCGCTTTTTTCCATTCCATGGTTGACTGGCCTTCTTCACTGGCACGTAAACTCCAGGAAAACATGGACCTCATAGGCTTGCTGCCAGACCCCCCGAGCCTCAGATAGAGAGGCTTGAGATACATATACTCACCAAAATACTTACTGCTTGGATGATGGGAAGGGGAGAAGTAAAAATGCAAAGTAAATTGTATTTACTTTGAATTTTTCTGATAAAAGTGTTCATTTTTTAATCACTGTAGATATTAATCATATGACCTTGTATTCTGTTTAATCAGCTGTTAGGAACGTGAGTCCTGAAATCATTGCTTGGATTCAGTTCTAGTTCCACTTTGCAAGAACTGTGCAACTTTAGTCAACTTGCTGAACATCTCTGGTGCTTCTGTTTCTGTATTTGAAAGTGTGGATGATAATATAATGTGAATGACATGAGATCACACATCTGCATTAGATTGCCAAAGCTGCCGTAACAAAATACCAGAGGCTGGGTGACTTAAACAACAGAAATGCGATTCCCCGTGGTTTTGGAGGCTGGGAGTCCAGGATCCAGGTGCCAGCAGGGTTGGTTTCTGGTGTGGCCGCCTCTCAGCTTGCAGATGGCTGCCGGCTCCCTGTGACCTCACGTGGCCTTTCTTCCATGCGTGCACAATCCTGGTGTCTCTTCCTCTTTTCACAAGAAAAGCAGTCCTGTTGGATCAAGGCCCACCCTTCAGACCTCGTTTAACCTCATTACTTCCTTAAAAGCCTCATCTCCAAATACAGTCACACTGGGGGGTTTGGGTTCCACATGTAAATGTGGACCGTTGGCAGGGACGGACGCAATTCCGTCCATAACAATGTGCAGAGTGCACTAGTGCCTGTCATTCCATAAAATCCTTGAGAAATTGTCAACATACCTTTATTGGTAATAATCTCATCGTCATCATCCTCTGTATTTTTTGAAACCCTCGACATGCCTCTTCCTGGCTCAGGCCCCCTTCAGTCTTACGAAGGGGCATCGTCGTCCCCTTTCAGCTTCGGGAATCTTCAGCCCCCCCACGACTGTCTTACCACGTGGGTAACGGGAACCCAGTCCCTCGATGTCTGATTTCATCGCCTTCTCGTCCTTCCCCTCTCGCCCTCTTAGCCTCTAAACACACCGCTTGCTTGTCATCATTCTTCCCTTTCCTACAGCGTCACCCAGCGGCTGTGTCTGAGAGCCTCGGGAGTAGAAGAAACAAACTTTGATTGCCACAACCCGAGCGAACAGCAAGGGGCCAAGAGCCTCTCATCCTTTGCCAAGTTGTTCGTTTCAGAGATGAGTTTCATAGATTTTCAGCCGTCCTTCCTCATCGCCTGGCTGGTCAGTCCTCATTTTGTACCGCCTCCTGGGTTAGCACCTGAGTCGGGTCATCTGGCAGCAAAATGCTGTCACCAGAGAGGTGCCGTCCCCGACAGCTGCCCAGTGGCT